ATGGCATGTTCTGGCCCACCCACCGTATTCACCAGACCTAACTGCAACGGATTATCATCTGCTCCTGTCGCTGTCGGACCATACGAAAAATAAGAAGTTCGATTATGTGAATCTCGAGACGTACATTGACGAGTTTTCCTCCTCGAAACCTCAGGAATTCTACCAAGCAGGAACCACAAGTTGCCTGATGAATGGCAATACCTTATCGATAATGATGGTGCATATATTTGTTAATCGTTAGTTATTGTGAAGGAAAAAAAACAAACTCAAAAAAAATTGCAAAAGGCGCAAAGACTTTTCCGACAACCTAATAGTTTTTTGAGATCCGCCTCTAAATCTGTGGTTACCATTGAGTACAGAACGGTCTGACGATACGGAATGGGCTCATACGTACTACAGTAAGAGAATAACGCGATGAACTGATGGTCCGAAACTTCTCATTATTTAGTTGTCAAATTCACAGAGTTGTGTGGTAGGAGTCCCGATCACCTCAATCCCGACTGGCAACTCATAGCTAGTTGCCTTGCAGCGCTTCAAGTGTTGACTAGTTGTCTCGCATACCGTTTACCCCATATCCAAAGAATTGTCGAATAAACGTTCTCAGACATTGTCAAAGAAAAAATTCCCGTTCGATACGGAAGCTCAGATTTTCCCTTTTTTGCTGCAAACACTCACTTTGTGCTCCAGTGATGAGGAGTTGTTAGAGAGGAGAAATTGGAAAAGAAAAAGGAAAAAAGGCGTGCTCACAAGCATTGTTCATACTGAGTACATAGAATGGGGCGAGATTCTTAGGAGGGCAATCCCCAGTTCACCCTTTTTTCAGTAGGCGATCCTATAAATGGAAGGCTGCTAACGGGCTGATGGGCATCCGTTGATGGCGAACCAGCAACTATGCATGTACTCACCATCAGTGTGTACGAGTTACCTAAGTCATTCTGTAAAGGAGAACCATGGCATCCCGCTCAGCTTGCATAATCCAATACAATCGAGTTTTTACTGCAAAGAGTGGTATTCTTAGGATGCAATTCATCGAGCAGCACACCTCGTCGTCTGGGGGGCGATTCATGACGTTCCACGTTCGGGCTTTCACAAACCTCGGTATGGTGATCCATCAAGATATGAATCTTGGGTTTTCTGTTAGGAGAACCCCTATAGTTCTTTTCTTCAGCAACACAATACAATGATTAGCTTTATACATTCACTTATTTTGATTCATGACAGTTTCATTATCTTAGGATGGTAACTATACTGCTTCAGCAAAAGGTACGAGTTTCTGAGCCAACAGGCATTCAATGGTGGGTGTGCTTCATATAATATGGTGAAGCCTCGGTTCGATTCATTTAAAATGGGATTCCTGTTACGGGACGCTACAAATATACTACAAAGTCGGTACACTTACAATTTCCACTACAATAGATTTATTCCTTCACTCAGACTGTTTTACTCATACTTACACGTACGTAAATTAGCGGGCAGGTGTTTCTCACCTTAAAAACACGAGTCGATAATACTGGAAACTGAAATTACGTCGGCTATCCTTTTCAAACGTGGTCTCCTAACATAGGTTCAATATTCCTCTCAAAGTCAGCATTTTACTTTTTACCTTCCACTTACATTCACAATCTTAAATCAAACAACAGTTACTTTATGTTATTGCATATTGGAGGTTGAATTCCTCTGTTTTACCTCTGGCCGATGGTATGTTCCTGGGGAGAGCTGGAATACATTCCGTCGTTGAAATACCTTCCTAGGAAGTAAATGAAGTTTCAGAAAATTGCCAAGCATTGTTCTCCACTATGGCCCTAAATGTGCTGAATGCGCTTGAATGAACCCATGATCGAGGCGAACCCAGCGCGATGTTCATTGGTCATTTAGTCAGCGTTTATCGATCCATTAAGGGATCAAAAAGCGGTGGGCGGGGTTTGCTTGGGTGTTCTGTTCTTCAATGGTGAATATGTGATGAATCCTTAGCTGGATACATTTATTGGAATATTGTTTGTATTGCCTGCTCTCAAGTAGCCTTTCAAATGCTCAAAAAATTATTAGATAAAAAGCATTGTCCATGGAGAGCAACAGTAGGGATTCGAGACCCATCCGAATCAGAAATTTTGTTCATAATTTGCCAATCTTGTGAACTTCGGAAAGACGAAGGATTGGAAGCACAACGAAAGGCCTTTGATGTGATTATTATTTTGTGAGTTACCACGGTACCAACAACTCCATTGTTTTCTTCTGCACTACTGACCCAGTGCGAGCTTCTTGCCCTATACCGGGAAAGTTGATCAGCGATGGACGAGTTACCTGGGAAATCGTTTGCGACTCTTTTTCAACCTAGCTTCTCGGCATTGCTGATGTCACAAGAAATTTACTGTACAAGTGTTCCTCGTAGGGCCTCCACTCTCCAAAAATTGAACACAACACCGATCAGTAGTGGTTTGAGGATTGTAAAACGGCGGGGCTGTCGGGAATGAGGAGACGGTGGGTTTGGATTCTGTCTGGAATGTGGACCATCAGTGTTTAAACATTAAGAATATTGCTAAAACTCTATATAATTGTATAGAGCCCGTAGAGACCTTCAGGGATTGTGCATAGTAAAATATGTAGTAGCAAGTTCGGGCGAAGCGTCAATTCATTAGGCTTGGGTCAGAGCCGCCTACGTGGTGGTCTTGTTTTTGGTTGAAGTATTCACCATTGCGGTTTTGAATACCATTGTTGACGAATCCTCCGATTGTTATCATAATGCTTTTCTCTGAAATCCTGCCTAGAAATTTGTGGAATTTGAGCTGTTCGTACGGAAAAAGCCATGAAATGACTAGCAGTTTAATTCCACTTACTGGTTCGAACACGACAGCAGCTTGCCAACCACAACAATCATTTGTATGACTGAGATGTAGACTCATGACGAATAAGTTGTTATCATAATCAGCAGGCTTTCAGTAAAAATTGCAAATATTTTGAAGCTTCCACTAGACGATTTCAAGAAAAATCAATCTTTTTGGAGCGAAAGGCGTGCAGCTGTCTCATTCTGTATTGTAGCACAGAATCATACCAGAGGACTACTAAGGAACTTTGAACAAACAGAAGTTTTGGAAAAAAAAAAAGGAAAAATGTTTTCAGCTTTACTTGATAATACAATTTTGAGCTTCTGAGAGCCCGTCAATGACTAACAAGGATTCTTACGAGACAGAGTTCATCCAAGAAACTATACATCGAGAGAAGATCGTTTCTTAAAGGCACGGTTCTCGCTCCCATAATCTCGGCGCTTAGGGCATAGTGCAAGCCCCGTTGCTGCCGTAGTTCGCTTTCCCGCCCCTCGATCGGTGTCACGTTAGACGAGTGTCGAGACAATACAGATTGCTATTATTCGTTCTAGGACCCACGCACAATCAGCTGGTCGCCGAGTGATGAGGCGATGTTTTTCTCCCATTCTTTTTTCCTCTGTTTTTCTTTTTGCTGCCGCGATCCTTTATTTAATTTCCTACTCCTAGAGGTTGAAAAAGGTGAGCTACTTTTGCTGTTACTGGGGTTTTTTTGTTTATTTATGCTTATAAGTGAATGAATTTTTGCTTACCATTGGCTGTTATTCGCACCAGGACCCACACGCACGCAGTGAGACACGTTGTATAGCTCGTCCAGACGCCCCACGCTTCTTCATTTTTCTGGTTTCATTCTCGCCCAGCCCCCTTTTTAACGGATTTTCGAAGCCTTTTTTCACTTTGGAAACACAAATGCATGCAGTTTTTTCACCTCAGTCGCACTAGTTTCGATCTTGTCTTCCATTTTTCATCATAATCTGGATTACCCAAAATTATCTTGAACTGTGCCTTTAAGAGAATTGCTAGGCGAGATTTTTTATATAAACATATGATGTGTGGGAAAACCATAAGATCGGAGATGTGATGTGATATTATATGATATTTAATAGTAATTGTTATTACTTTTGCATTTCATATTGTTGATTCAGCTTTATCTACCCGTTTTTTCGATCCGCTTACTACCGTGAGGATTTAGATATTTTGTACTTTCTATCGCATTTACGAAATGAGAGCAGGTCATCGCTTAAACTTTGGTCCCTTTACTTTAATTTTTGAGTTGTTCTCTTGAGCTCTTCAGGAGGTTTGTATATGACTTTATTATCTTGACATTTCGGCACAACTCTTCACCTTCTTTATAGCCGTAGTAGTCTGTGACTTCCCGACTAAAAGTCTCCCAGTCCCTTTAAATTTCGAGATCCCCAGGGCACGTTCGCGATCTACAGGAGAGCTACATACCATAGCTTCGTGAATTCTTCGAAGCCATCCAACAACCGAGTAGTGTCAGCTGGGGTCTTCCCTCACCTGGGGTCTGATCAACCTTATAAGTATAAGGCCGTAGTGTCCACGTGGTTGTGGTGTATTCTTCTCTCCGATTCAGTTTTGGGTTGGTTACCTGTGACCAAATGCCTCCCAAATGTTTTACGGCTCACACGTGCGTCTCCTGTGCCACGACCTCCTCGATGGCCTGAAAACGCCTTCGTCATGGTTCCGAATTCGGAGGATTCCCAAGTCGGTAGACTCTTCCGATGGGATCACAACATCTGATCCTCCTTAAACTTCACTAAAGGGGTCTTGCCAACTCAACAGTATGCTCATCCTCACAATCACGGCGAATGTTGGAGTGACCCTGTAGAATCAAATTTGGTTTTCTCTCGTATTAATAGGTATTTACTTATTTATAGTGCATAAACTGACGTGAAACTTGCGCAACCAATAAACCACTAAGACTTCTTCCCTCAGCTCTTCTCATTTTACTAAGGAATCCGTGAAGAAGCCTGAAAAATTCCTGTTACACTACTCTTGCTGTAAATTTTTGGCAATACAAGCAATTACATTAGTTATCTGTCGTCAAAAGCTTTCCGTCGTTTTCGAATTGTTTGCACGTAGTGTTTTGTGACTACTTTACTGAAGATTACTCGTTTTCAGGAACATTTCGTGGGTAAATACATAAATTAGGTCGATACCATGGGATCAGGACATTCGAAAGAGAAAGAGAATGCCCTCAGTATGGGACGGCTCCGAGAGGACATGAAATTGTACAAATTGGTCGATATGCATGGTGGTGGTGAACTGTTACCATGGTTTAGGTAAGCAAACCACATATAACGCAAACCTTCTGCTTGTATTGTCGAAACTTAACTTTTTATGGACTTAGCAGTTAACTTGAGTTATGTGGTAAGCCACTAAATTGTCAACTTCACGTTGTGATCCGTTCCATGGTGCATGCAGATGATAAACGAATATTATCTGTGGGGAATAAATTGATAAAATCTCGACCTGATGAGAGTTAGACGCGCCTACTATGCTTCCGTTGACAGCAGACGCGCAAAATCAATAATCACCCTGACATGCACAAGTTAACGGGATCGACTGTCTGCAGCGTGAAAGAGCTTCAAGAAGCAGTCTGAAAAAAGTGTTTGCTACTAGTAATAGCACCTGTATTACTTGAATGTCTCCTAATCGCTTATTATAATGAAAAAATGTTTTCGGTATGCACGAAGTAGTGGTGATTATTCGTTGATCGATGGTTATATGGAAACCAAAGTTCGGGATTCTATGTACAACCAAGGAAAGGGCAAATTGGTTACGGTAACAGAACTTGTAAAAATTCGAAATAAGGTATGCACTTCTGATGAATTGCCCTTTTTCTGAACTTACCAAGAATGTTCTGGAATTCAATATTACTGGTACAGAACCTAAAATAGTTTAGGAAAGGAACGAAAGGCTTAGCGCTTTCTCACGAAAGAAAGGAAAAGGCAAAAGCGGACCGAATGTGTTGGACGAGTTTAAGCAAGAGGGCGAGAATGTGGGAGATCTGAAGAAAGGTATGCGCAGGCAACTTGTAATGCTAAAAAATCTTGAAGCAATAGCCAACTTACTAATCTCGTCAAACTTGGGTAGGCCCAAAACCTATCCCGATCCATTCATTTTGAAAAGCATAGTCCTCATTTTGTCTTTTCATTCTACTCGCATGAGGTGCTTTTCGGGTCCTACCAGTACTGTACAGGTCTAAGCCCAAAGCTTACTGGTTAAGATTCCACAACAAACAGTTACCAAGTAATACCAGTAATATCAGCCAAAAGCCACGAATTGTTAATAATTTTCGTTGACGTCAACAGCAGTGCCTAACATAAGTCCGACTATGTTGTCACAGAAGTTGGGTCAATAGAAACTCTATTTTGGTCCAAAATAGCGCTTCCACGCCCATCTGACACCTAGGCGAGCCCAAAGAGGAAAATAGGGGAGATATTCATTTTTGAATTCCATTTAAATGGTGGGGCAAGTGGGTGTCGGAAGTGTGGGGGATAAAATGCACGGTGCCCGGAAAGTGTTATAAGTTAGGGTTCGAGTCCCGTCCGAGGTCGAAGTTTTTGCCCATAACTCGTCATCCTTGAGAAAACTTTTTGGATGGTATCAACAAATAACTGCAAGGCTTGAGTAATAGCTTAATTAGTAGAAGAGCCGCCTTCATGTCTGCGAAATTACTCTTTTTTAGCCTTGAAACTGCTCGATGGTGGAGGAAAAGGAGGGCGAGGCGAATCGAAGTATCGAGAAATCACATGGAAACTGGAAGAGCGAGGTCAGTCACGGCAAATATTTCGATGAGGAAATGTGATTTCAATCAGACTCTTTCAGGTGCTATGGGTGAAACAATAATAGGAATCTGCTTGCTTCAAGGAACTGATGTGCACAACAAGTTGGCCATGAAAATCATCGAAGCCTTCCCAAAATTAATCAATGACATTAATATATCTGAAGATTTTTATGGTATGTGGAACTTTTTGGAAATATTCGAGCAGGCTACTATAAAATACTAACCTTGACATTTGCCCAGTGTCTAGTTGAAGCATAGGTTGTCATGATGTTCACGGCTGTGGGGTTGCGTTATGAAAATAACCAGATGTGACCAGGCAGGACAGGGATTTCAGCAAGCATCCCTGGTTAGGAGCAACCCAAAAAGTAGTAAGGGGTTAAGCTATACCTGAAAAAACCTTAGCCACTATTATTCTTTGAAGGCACAGTTTACGTTGGTGTTTGAGTTTCCCTTTGGGATGATACTTTGTCCGATGGTACTAAAGAAAGACAGTCAGGACTTGGCCAAAAAATGGCCCACATAGGGACTATAAAGGTTCCAAGGCAGGCTTGGACGGCATACACGCCCAGAAGTGGACGTGTTATGACGGTCTTTTAAGGCTGTACTATTCACAATGAAGCGCTGGGACGCCGACGACCAGTGTGTTTATGGGAGAGACACCAGAGGGTTACAGACACATAATCTTATCGATTTTCCGATCGAATTGATTTTCGCGTTTTCTCGATTCTTACACTTTATGCACCACATCATTCAGGCTAGATATTTGAAAATCATCCTAATTATGCCTCGCCATTGCCAGACGCATGGACACTGGTTAACTGGCTCCTCCTTTACATCGTGATTCCTCCGATTTTTTCTTTCAAATATTCTTGTCTAGGTAGCATGTATAGCGCCACGTCGGCTTTCAAGAATGTATTTCGGCCTAGATTTGAAAAGATTCCCTGAAAACCACATTGGACCTAAACGACGTTCTCGTTTTATTTATTCTCTTTGTTTTCAGCTGATATATCCGTTCCAACACGATGACTTTTTGCCTCTTTTTATATGATGTTTCTTTTTTATACATGCTTCTGCGTTTACAGTTTTATCACATTAACTTATGTAATAAATAAGACGATAAATAAATAAGTAGGCGGCTTTTTCGGCGGCAACAACTGGCTGGTTTCTTTGTGTTAATCCAAACTGAACCTAATGCAACCGAGAGTCCTACTTGTAGTGCTCGATCCCTTTAGCGCTCGGTACGTTGGATGCATGGAATTTCAAAAATTCTCCGTTTCAAGGGCTCACACCTCTCCATCAAGCCGTTATCAATCAAGATTGCCATATGGTCTATGTGCTGCTTAAGAAAGGTGCTGATGTGAATTCACGCTGTTACGGGGCATTTTTCTGTGCGGAAGATCAGAAAGCTGGTCGAACGGATTCGCTCGAGCACGAATATGTGGAATTGTCTTTAAAAACGAATTACTCCGGGTGAGTTAAATTTTCATGCAATCAGTGTCAGTACGTGCTTATCTAGGACGAAATGAAGCTCAAGCTCTCAATAGATTGTTAGGTGAAGCTTGACCTCGATGTTCAGCTTTGTCTGAGCTGGTTCACAGACTGCTACAGACTGCTTTGCAGTTTAATACTCAGTCATTATTACTTTTTCAGACATATGTATTTCGGAGAATATCCGCTGTCGTTTGCGGCTTGCATGAATCATCCGGACTGTTATCGGCTTCTCATTGCCTATAAAGCAAATCCAAATGCTCAAGATACCAACGGCAATACCGTACTACATATGTGTGTAATACACGAGAATATGGTAAATCATACCTCGGTTTTTTCACCATTTCTTGCTAAAAATGACTTTACGATCTTTACATTCACTCCCATCGGTTTTGGTCCTTTTTACCTTTCATATTTTTCTGTGTTGCTTCTCAGCTCAATAACTACTGAAATTTGGTAAAAACAAAGTGGTAATATCAGTAACAAGTAGACTCGTGCAGTGTGGGTCATGAGGTGCTTTACCCTAGCAATGTGGGACATGAGGTGCTTTCCCCTATGGCTGGGCCACTGCGCATGGCAGCTCCGAAAGTTGCTGGCACGCTATATGTGTCGAGTTGCTTTGGAATACCTACAGCGTTCGAACCTCATTTTCACTTTTCTGTTCAAGGGCACTGTTCCCGCTAAAGACGATTTCAGAGATATCCAGCTAGGACGTACCTGTGGCCTCCAATTATGAGGGCGCTGTGAGGTTGAAATATGGCCCAAATATGGCGTAATTGCAAAGAAAAGCTTCGTCACGTTAACGCCCAAAGGCGGACGAGTTTCCACAGCGTTGTATGCGCTGCACTATTCACAATAGAGCACATAATACATGTGCTGGAAACTCAAACAACTAACCGTACTCATGGCGACAGTGAGAGACAATTTCGAGCACTTTCGCCCACTGTAATCAGCTATTTATGCTAATGCGACAACAGAAATCTCGTCCAAATAGTCATTCCACGTCATGTCATCTCGGTCTTTTGAAAAAACGTAATTTTTTCGTTGGATCCTCTTCCATCCTCACCACTAGTGCTCTATTCCTCACCAATAATTCCGCCTTTTTACCTAGAAAAAAGTAACCCTCAGTAATTGAACTGTACCTTAAAGACACCGTTCACATAATTTCGGGTAATCCAGATTATGATGAAAAATGGAGGACAAGATCGAAACTAGTGCAACTGAGGTGAAGAAACTGCGTGCATCGGTGTTTCCAAAGTGAAAAAAGGCTTCGAAAAACCGTTAAAAAGGGGGTTAGACGAGAATGAAACCAGAAAAGTGAAGAAGAGTGGGGCGTCCGTACGAGCTAAACAGTGTGTTTCACTGCGCGCGTGTGGGTCCTGGTGCGAATAACAGACAATGGTAAGAAAAAATTCATTCACTTATAAGCATAAATAAACTAAAAAACCCTAGTGACAGCAAAAGTAGCTCACCTTTTTCAGCCTCTAGGAGTAGGAAAAGTAAATAAGGGATTGCGGCAGCAAAAAGAAAAACAGAGGAAAAAAGAATGGGAGAAAAGCGTCGCCTCATCACTCGGCGATTAGCTGATTGTGCGTGGGTCCTAGAACGAATAATATCAATCTGTATTGTCTCGACACTCGTCTAACGTGACACCGATCGAGGGGCGGGAACGCGAACTACGGCAACAAAGTGGCTGCCACTATGCCCTGGACGTCGAGATTGAGGGAGTGAGAGGGTTCCTTCTACAACCCAAGGGGGCCGCTGAGTATTAATAAGGTAAGAACTCCATAACTTTTTTATCGTGAACGGTGCCTTTAAGCCGAGCCCAATGCTTTCGAAACCACAAATATTTTCATTGTAAAAGTGGAACATACATTTTAAGCCTTGATATTTTGGAACAGGTTGATCGCCTACTTGTAAAATGCACGTATACATCTCACGGAACATTTACATGTAAATTACAGTATACATGCAATTTTAGGAAATGTTCCGTCTCGCAATGGAATCTGGTGCCCGGCTAAACATTGCCAATAAACAGAATCTCACACCTCTGACGTTAGCTGCAAAACTGGCGAAAAAACAGGTGAACCTACCAGACTCCACTCAACTGCCCAACGCATATGATGTTGTGTTAACAGGAGTTTTCAAAATATTAAGCCCTATTTCAGGTATTCATGGAGATCCTCGAACTCGAAGGTGATTCAGTGTGGGCTTATGGAGGATCGGCCTCTACGGCCTATCCACTGGCAAAAATCGATACAATCAATGAAGTAACTGGAGAGCTGAATGAAGCCAGTGCACTGTCATTAGTTGTCTACGGAGTGGGTTTGCTATGAAGCTTTCATCTGTAAAACACCTTCTGCTGGGTGGCGACGGTGTAGTGGCAAATGGTGTGCTATCACACATCATGGGTCGTGGGTTCGAATCCCGGATCGATATCCGCCCAGGCCATCCAAACATACTATCCCTTCGGGGTCGAGTAATTGATACCAGACTTGTCTGCGAGGATAAAAGCACTGACTTGTAAATGGCTGGCAGCCGCAGTCATTGTATAGGCTACATACGCATTCAATAGGCCCCTACGAATCTGAATGGAAGTCGAATGCGGGGGCGCATTCCTCAGACAGAATCGATCGATACCCCAAGACTTTCTCCTTTACCATTTTTGTTGCGCTGAGGCAATGACTACTTGTTCACATCTCTGCTGAGTCACTCGGGTGCACTTTACTACCATGGACAGAGCTTCCAAAATTTCGCAAGCGTGGTACTATTAGGTTGTAAGGAAAGTTCTGGCCGTTCCCACGTATGTGCCATATGAATTAAAATTTTGGCGGATGATCATTTAGTTTAATGGTCATATTGTGCTCCTTAGGCAAGTCATTAGTTGCTCTTTCTGTCATAGTGCTTTCCCCAGAATCTGTAAGGTTTTGGAATTTTTAGGAGGTTTTTCTTGGCAGAATAGATAAGACTACTTTGTAAATGGGTCTACTTCACGAGTTCAAACTTGGTCGAACTGCGATGGAGGCAGCTACAAACATCAATGTTACGTGGGAAGAAGGCACTGCGGCGGAGCGAACGGTTTGTCGCTGGTTTCATAAGTGTCGAACTGGAGACGAGTCATTGAAAGACGAAGAGCGAGTTGGTAGACCATCGTTAGTTGATCACGATGTTTTGCTAAGAGCAGTCGAAGATGATCGACGTCAACCTTCGAGGGAGATTGCCAAGAAGATGGTTGTCTCCCACACACTTCTCGCTGCCCTCCTCAAGCAGCTTGGAATGGTGAAGAAGCTTGGAAAGTGGGTGCCGCACGAACTCACGGAGCAGCAACAATTGAAGCGCTCAGAAGTTTCAAGTTCGCTGTTGAGAAGTAATGATGTTGAGCCTTTTCTCCATCGTATTGTAACGTGTGATGAGAAATGGATCCTGTTTGATAACAGGAAGCGTTCTGCTCAGTGGGTGAGTGTGGATGAGCCTCCAAAAAATTTCCCAAACCAGGTTTACACGTCACGAAGAAAATGATCACAGTTTGGTGGATTAATTCACTACGCGTTTCTTCTTCCAAGTCAAACCATCACCGCACAGCTCTATTGTGATCAAATTCACGAGAAGTTCACAAAACTGGGGTAAATGCAGCCAGCACTAGTCAATCGCCACGGTCCACTGCTCTTGCACGACAGTGCACAACCGCATGGGTCACAAACTGCCTTCCAGAAGCTGAACGAGCTGGGAATAGAAGCTCTCCCTCATCCATTCTACTCACCAGACCTGTCACCAACTGACTACCATTTGTTCAAACATCTGGGCAACTTATTAAAGGAACGGGTATTGAAAAATCAAGGCCACGTGGAAGCTGCCTTTCTCGAGATCTTGGAATCCAGATCTCTGGACTTTTATAAGAATGGGATAAATAGACTTGTTTCACGTTGGCGAAAATGTGTGGAATCGAATGGGGCTTATTTTGAATAAAAATGTTCACTTTGAGATGAGTTATAACTTTTTAAAAGTTAGCTGTGAAAGCGGCCAGAACTTTCCTTACAACCTAATACTAAACTCCCCAACGCATGCACCAACCTACAACAGAGCGTGTCTTCTTTGATAATAGAATTCCCATGTGCATATACCATCAAAGAGAAGTAGAACATAATCTTTAGCTCGGGAAACCTTTGGAGGTACCGGAAACGAGAGGAGGAAATTTTATGGTTCATCTGCTCCCGATTCATGGAATTCTATGTTTTGAATGGTATAGCCAAAGAAATGTGTCTTAGAAAATGATTTCTACTTTGGACGTTTGGAAAAGAATATTCATTATAAGGCGTATACTCACAATACGGTAGCGTTTGATCTCTCGAATTCAGTAGTCGTCTGAGTTGAAGCCTGTGTGCAAAATGTTTCAGTAAAGCGGCTTTACTTTACAATCTACAAACTAAAGGATAAAGGATAAAGTTTTCGGCGTTAATCAATCCGGTCTGAGGGATGTGCCCCCGCACTCGACTTCCATTCAAAATCGTAGTGGCGAATGAGTGCGTATGCGGCCTATACAATGACTTGCGGTGGCCAGCCGATGTACAAATCAGTGCTTTTATCCTCCCAGACGAGTCTGGTACCAATTTACCGACCCCGGATGGATGGAAGGCTTGGTTGGCTTGGGCGGGCATCGATCCAGGATTCGAACCCCTGACCGTGGGTGTGAGATAGTGAGCCACTTGCCACTACACCACCTCCGCCCTGACATCACCTCCGCCCATTCAATCTACAAATTACTTCATAAAATTAACACATTACAGTTATGTTTGATTCTAAATATGATTATCATTTAAGGAGAAAAAGGAGCATCTTGATCTGTTGGATGGTCTTTTGGAAACGGTATTAGAAGCAAAATGGCAAGCATTCGGAAAGCGAAGGTTAGGCGTCATTTTTGTTCCGTACTAGTTCTTACTTTCATCTAGAATATGGAGACTTTCGCCGTAGTTTATTGCGAGGGTTGTCCCACACACAAACTACAGAAGCCAGTTTTACTAGACTCTTTGTGAACAAAGTTAACAACTTTCTTTTATTTCACGTAGCTTTCATACTTTTTATTGCGACCTAATAAAAAATAACATACTTAATTTACGACGTGTTACAAAAAAGAACGACCGAATCGGGCCAAGAATATAGGCTTTCAGAAGATGTATATTGATCATGAAAAGGTCTTGAATTATAAACGCAAACGAACATGAAGTGAACCTGCAGAATACAGTCTTGCCGCGACATGACAGCAAGTATTGGGAATTCCGCGTCCATATTATCAACAATTATCACTAATGATCATTTCATGTAGACAGTCATTCTCCTTGATCAGCAACTCTGCGATTTTGAGAAGGGAGTAAGCGACATAGGCGATACTAATCACATATTTGCAGTATGTTGCGATCTCTGTTGGCGTTCACCTTCTTCTACATTTTCGTAGTTGCAGCTTTCTCTCTGCGTCCAGTACCAGAATCAACGGCTGTAAGTTACACATATGTGTATAAAATCAAAATTGCGAATGAGGGTGGTGAGTATAAGTGGTATCGCCTTCAGAAATACACTCCACAAATCGGGAGACGGACAGTAGGAACGGTTTTGTATAGTCGACGAGCCGCACGCGGCTGTCGCGGACCATTTGCCTCGTTAGAACAATTCTAGTGTTCTTCATACAGCTCAATCGCTATGCGATTATTACTTATGACATGATTCTACTATTAGTTCTTCTCTTCCTGTATTTCTTACTTGCCGTTGCATTCTGCTGCATTCCTTCGCGCGCAACGTCTCTCGCCGCACCGCGACAGTTTCGTTCCTACTGCACCACTCCCTCAGAAATCAGGTCTGGTTTAAACCTCGATCAGACCAGTGAGGCTCTGTGGAAATGAACTTGTAATCCGCGCCTATGGCGCAAGTGAGGCCTAATAAAAACTCGTCAATCTAGATGAAATAATTACATTCACCATGATCAAAAGTTCACTTTGCAGCAACTCACGTGGGGATGGATTACTTTTCATGGACAGCCTATAAAAGGGCCATACTATCCAGGAGAGGTCCCGATCGTACCGACTGCTCAAGGAATGCAGCCATACCGTAAGTCAGATGAATCCGTGCGATCTAAACCCATGCTCTGTTTTACATGTTTTTTGCTATTTTTACTTTTTCCAGGGGTCCAGCTCACAGAATGTCATTTGCGTAATTACTGGGACCCGAACTTGTCGATATGGAGTGGATGGGTGAGTTGACTTTCAACATTATTGTTACGGCAACGCATAAATAACCTTTATCCTAAGCAAAAATAACTACCAACTTTAATTCACTTCTGTATTTTTTCTTGAAGCAGTTCTTTTTCCAGGTACGTGGCGGTACAGAAGCCGTGATCCTTTTGTGTACAATCGTTCAGATCTTTTTTGAAATCAAAGACATGAAACGAATTGGAAAAGGAAAGTGGTGGGCCATTCATGTGAGCATCACATTTTTACGAGTTTTAGAAAGTGTCTAAAAAACTGGAACTGGTAATGGTGCAGGCAGTGACTAGATGTCCCTCAGAATGTCCTCACGATCTTTCTGAAATATCTTGAATGAGTGAAATGATGAACGTTATAGTGCAGAATAGTTCTAAACTGGTGAAGAAAGCGCAAAAATCGTCGGATTTTCAGAAATCTGAGGTTCCGAAATAATAGTAAGAAAAGGGGCCATACGATGTTATGCGTCTGTAATCGTCTGGATGTCTCCCACATAGACGTACTATTCGTCGACATCCTAACGCTTCATTGTGAATGGTGCATGGTGCAACATTAACAAGCCATCATAACGCGGCTACTTTGGGTGTCTACGACGGCTGGACCGGTTTCGGAGCAGTTATAACGCCCTCTCGAGGTTGTTTCCGACCCGACAATGCCTCACGTACTATCCTTGAAGTCACAGTTTCAATAGAAAGGGAAATCTCAGAGACCATTTTAATCGTAAAATGGGCCTCTAAAGGAGGTGGGGCTGCCGATTTAGAAACTGCAACAGGTCCACCTCTATTTTCCGGTTTAACTTTTTTTTTCCTTTTTGTAAGACTGTTTATTGATTACCAGTTTATAGAAAGAGTTTCCTGCTAAGCTTGCCTACAAATTCTCGTTCGTGCTTATACTGTTGATGATTCCCATAAGAGCTGCATGCGGTGTTAGTGCTAATCTTCTTGTTGTCGACAATGTCTTGGCAACAGTTGTTATTCTGTTTACATCCATTCACTACTTGTATTATTGCAGGTAAGCGAAGGTTTCCTGCTTACACGATTACGATGAAATTCACAGCAGGATTTAAAAAAGTTCAGACGGAGCCGATTTTCTATCTATTCTCTATGAGATAGAACTCAGCCGTACCTCTTCATACTGAAAACTTTGTAGGAGACTGGGTCCGCGTGTACCCTAAAATCCCATAGATAAGAGCGGTTTAATTTACCGGTGAAAAATGAATTGGAATGAAATTGAAATTGAATGCAGTCACCCCTC